CCGTAAGGCCGGGCCCGCGGGCCGGGGCGGCGGGGGCGGTCGGGCCGGGCAGGGCCGCGGGGCTCGGCGAGGTCGGCGCGGCTCTCACTCACCTGCCCGCGACAGCCCCGGGCCCCGCGCCGAGCGCTCCGGAAACGGCGGCGGCTCCGCCGGGGCCGGGGAGGGGCCGGCGAGGGGCGGGCGGAGCCGCGAGTGACAGCGGGAAGGGGCGGTGGGAGCGGGCGGGCGGTGCCGGCCGAGGCTCGGGGAGGGCAGGGGGCAGGGCCCGCCGGGTCACGGGCGGGGGGCACGGAGCTGCCGAGCCCCGGCTCCGGCTGTGGGGCAAAGAGCCCGAGGCGCGGCCTGCTGGGGGAGAAAGGGACAAGGGGAAGAATTAATCAGAGAATATTTTATATGAGCTTAAAATTGTGAGGCTTCTCAGTCTGYTGTTTTGGGGTCAGATACAGGTTCCGATTCAGGAGAACCGTTTCGGATGGAGATCGCCGGTGGCACCTGCAAAGTTCCGTATTCCTTTTCCATCCAATATCACTTGCTGGACAAACTCCAGGTTTCAACACTGATGTTCAATGGATTTATTTGGGAATTGAGTAGAATGCACAAACATTATCTTAAGCTGATCCTTTGGACATAATTGTCATTGTCCTACCAGCTTTAGGAATTGTCCAGAAATAGGCCTGGTTTAGGATGTGCGTTTAAACTGATTTCATATTATTTCTCAGGCTTTATGCAGGTTTTATACAGAAAAGTTTGCTGTAAAAAATAATGTATTTTCAAATCCTATTTCCATAGAAATACTCTGTTAATCCTGTCTTCCTTAGTAAAAAAAAATTGCTTTTTATTTCCACGACTTATTTAGAATCTCACATTTTAAATGGAACAAGCATTTAATAATGTACAGAAATGTCTAGTAGAAGTTAGAAAATAAGGTAARGTGCAGTAGTAGGAGAGTAGTCAAAAACTGTTGAAATATGTGTAAGCAAAGATTTTGCCTACAGGGCTCAGCATCCAATCATCTGGCTCTGATTCCTCCCCAAAAAACCCCAAGCCCACACACTTGGATATGATACTCATAAAGTGAAAATAACAGTAATTTCAGTGCTGCTAATCAGAAAACTCTGTGGGAAGAAGTGAAATTGTCAATTTATTGGACACCTTCTAGCCACAATCTAGAAATAGTCCTCAAGTAGTGTCTGCGGGGAGCTGCCTAGGAGCAATCTGTGGCTTTGTTTCCTTCTCCAGAACAGATGGTTGCTGGCAGACCAGGCTTCTCATCAGTGCTTTCCCTCTGAACTYTTCTGATTCTTGCATGTCTACTAAGCATGTCTCTTCCGAGAAAATTTAGTCCTCAAATTTACAGATACCTGGGAAATACTTGGAAAGACACAAGGGAACAGAAGGCTGTCGTATTGTTGGCTTCTGAGAGGGAAAGAGAGGTGTTGAGTATTCTTTGTACTGGAGTAGTACAATGAAGGGCTGGAGATGGTAGCTTTTTACTTCTTTTTTTTTCTTTCTTTCTTTCTTTCTTTCTTTTTTTCTGCTTCTAACTAAATGGTAGCTGGAATATTGATTTTAAAAAATATAAAAAGACTGGTGAGGTCCCAACAATGTTTTGATTGGAATGAGGTAAATGTATGAAGTGTAAAAGCCCAGTGTAAAGGAAGTCAAGAAGCTGAAGAAGGAGGAAAAGAGAAGACAAAATACTGGGATGAGTTTTCCTTCCTTCCAGGACAGATATTGAGGCAAGACCTAAAAGTAATCTAAAAAAACTCCCACAAAATGCCTCAGGTTTTGGTTTTGTGTTGTTTWGCTTTGGGGTTTTTTTAAGGAATGAAGAGGGAGAAATTAACACACACAAACAGACATGTATTTTTAGGGATGCTTATACTTGCTGGCCTTGGGAAGCAGGGTGGTCCTGGATCTGGAGCTCCCCATCTGCAAGCAGCACTTGAGGAGCCCACACTCTGCTGATGTGCTGAGGCTGCATCACCCTGGGCAGTGCTGGGCCCACCACAGGAGGGAGAAACCACCTGGAGTCACTGGGGCCAGCATTGCCACTCACCTCTGGCTGTGTGTCCCCTCCAGGCTGTCCCCGAAGGAGCCTGGACTCAGSAGGCTGTTGGTATTCTGCTCCCCAGGGACCCTCTCCTCCCCAACCCATGTTCCCTGCCGGTCCTGGCTGTCTGAAGGGCATGATGTGATGCTTACAGGACACAGCCCYTCCTGTCCTGCTGGACAGCCACCAGCACAGCTCCTTCTAACCGTGCTCTGTTTTACCAACATGCAGTTTTACCAAGAGATCCCAAAACCACCSAGCCATGCTGGCTAAAGTGCACTGTGTTCACAGGCAGAAATCTGTTCTGCAGACTGAGTTCTACATTTCAGTATATGAACATTTCTTTCACACTATCTGGAGGTATAATCTGCTCCTGTTTTGTTATCCTACTGGTTTAATTGTATTCAGTGGAGTGTGCAGAATTTGGTTCTGTCAACACTAACAGTGGAGTTACACACAATAAGCAGATTTCTTATTTTGACTCCCTGGATTTATTTACATATTGTTATAGGGTTTTTTTTACAGTGCTGTATAGCAACTTTTATCACATAATTATATCTAAATATCAGATTTCATTTGAAATTTACTGCAGAATAAATTTATGATTGAGAGCATAAAGGCACAAAGGACTGGTAAGAATGGTAGCCTTAAAGTTAATATGTCTTACCAGATGGCAGGAATTTTAGACAGACTGAAAAAAATAGGAAGTTCACACTTCCTAATATGAACAGGGCATGAAAACATRCAATGCAACAGAGTGTGTAATAATCAATGCAGAATAAAGAAAAAACTCAAGGGCTAAAAAATATGTGGTGTAGATATCTATTGTGCTCTTGAAGAATAAAATTATTTCTCTGAAGACTTAAAATGCAATACTTATGCTGAGTAGTCAATTTTTTAAATTTTGTGAATTCTACTTTGAAAGATGGCAGTATGATTAACTATGTAGTAAAGTCCTATGTAAATCTGCATGGAATAGATGCATTCAGTTTTATTTATGTTTTTCCCACTGACGTTACATATATGTGAAAAGTGCTTTCCAAGACTTCCATTGAATAGGAAGGGAAGGAAATCAGTGCACAGTTTAAACAAAAAATGTAACAATGTTGTTTAGGGAGAGAAGAAAGCAGCTTTGAAATGTGTTATGAGTGCAACTGGATGTCATGGGCTGTAGGAAGAAGAAATCATTAGCTTGGGAAAAGAGCAGCACAATGGCCATGTGCAGATGTTAATAAGGATATCCCTATCAGCAAGGTGTGCGGTAAGATTAGGAGGATGAATGTTAGTAATAAAATCCCTCAAGAGTGTGTYGTCTTGTAAAAGGAAAAAGCTAATTTACCAGAGGTTGTTTCTGTTCATCAGATGGAGATATATTTAGGGAAAGGAAATGTGGGGAAAACTGGGGTGAKTTTGGAAAACAGACTTGACCACTAATGTTGTGTTGTATGAGCAGTGATTTTCCCGTTGTGGTGACAAATGRCTGTGGGGGCTGTGGTGACAGCATGCTGAGGAGCAGGATGAGCAGCAGCACATTGCCCTGATATTTGGGCTGCGTGGACAGCAGGAATTGGGCAGCAAGGACCACATAGGTCTGGCTGGGGCTGTGTTGTACAGTCTGGACAGCATCTCACAGCCCTTGTGGCCACAGCCTGACCCTCTGCTGCTGCCTGGATGTTTGACAATGCAGGCATACATGTGGGCAATTCGGGCTTCTAAAAATACATTTCACAAATCATCCATTCCAGCTGTCAGGGTGAGAGCAATCGCTTTGTCYTGCAGGCCTGGACAACAAAAATGCCATTTCAGACAAATGAAATGTGGTCCTTTGCTGCCYGACAGGAAAGCTGCTGAGCTGTGCTTTATACCCTCAGCGTGATGGCCCAGCACTGTGTCCCAGCTGAGGCTCAGCACACGGGCTGGCCACTTGCCCAGAGCCTCTGCAAACAGCACCGAGTGGCCAAGGCAAGGCATGGGCAGCCCCCAGGGCTCTCTGGAGCAGCTCCTGCCYGGTACCTCTGCAGGGCCAGTCCTGCTTCGGCAAGAGCCAGCATGGCTGGCTAGATGTAGCCACCTAAAAATAAAAATAGGGAAAATCAGCTTTTCCTGTCAGACAAATCAAAGATCCAAGTCACCTTAAAAAATGCTAGGCTGCAAGCCATACTGGCTATAGGGAAAATAAACAAATGTATAAAGTATGTAAACCTCTTAATCCTGCATGGRTTGGTCCAGTTTTGATCGAACAGAGCAGAGGCTGTTGACTTCAATTGACACTGATGTGTCCCATGACCTTCTGGTTTATATATTTAGACTCCCCATACTAATCTTCTCTTCTAAGATCTGATGTCATCACCATTATTATAAGCAGAACTTGTCACTTGATTGACAGCAAACAACCTTTCCAAAAAGTAGCCAAGGAGTAAGAATGTTTTGTC